GAACTTAAACGACTCAAGTCTATATTCAGACCATATCAGTCAAGATTTGATTTTCACGTCGCACCGACACAGTACACACTGAACGACTTGTGGAGGAAAGTAGTTAAGGGCCGAAGCCTATTCGGGATTTTTGAGTAAAAAATCGAAACCATTCAAGCGCGGTATGATTTATCCGCTATTTATGCACTGTTGCGCAGGGAAGACAATTATTGGGTTTAAAAATGACAGTATAAAGCAGAGGACGTTTTTTTCCGCCGATAGTCCGTTAAACTGAATAATGCGCTGTCGGGCGCAACATCTTTTACCCGTTTATGATATTTAACCCTTTCTCCAATAATATAATTTCACTTGTATTGTAACCACCGATAGATACACATCGAGGCAATAAACCTTTTACTGACAGATAAAGAGCGAAACCCATTCATACGGACAAAGGTAAACATTTGATTTAATTTTTTTCACAATTTTACAAAAATTGATTATCCATTAGCCAATTAAATCACAGTACTCTTTATTGGATTTTATTTTCGCCCACTTAAACTTTACCTGTAACAGATGTTATATCAGTGATAAAGGTTTAAGCAAAACAAGCCGGTGTTTACATATTTATTTACATTTATCTACAAACGTTTTTTATGGTACAATTTATAACATGTAAATACAATTAATAGAGTAATATATTTTTTAGATAGTAAATATTTTACACATAAACTCACAAACACACCAAGTATTGTTAATTTAAGGCCGAAGCTTTCATCCCAATATTAAGTATTTTACACATAAACTCAAAAACGTTAATTTAATTTCGAAGCTTTTATCCAACTGTTAAATTTAGGCGGGAAACTTTTCCATTTGACGTAGAGTTGTTTATTTCGTCCTTTTCCTCGGGATTTTAATATTTTCTCTATTTTCCATGTTTGATTTGGATCAATGTCCACTTTCTGTAACTCGCTTTCATAAATGTGCCTTTGATTTCTTCTTGTTGCATGTCCTGAAGACGATAAATAGGCAATGTACCTCTGTGATAACGTTTGTAAACCCGAAACACTTCTCCAGTGTAGGTTTCATCATACGCTCGCGTAAACACAGTGCGCAGATGACTGATCCGTACATAATCACCAATCTTAAATTTGAAGGGTCTCAATTTAATGTTCCCTTTTCCTTTGTTTTTGTTTTGTGTAAAGTACGTGGATAATCTAACTTCCTCCTGGTTGGTCTTCTTCACATCAATGGGTCTCATTCCAATTGTTCTGTGAAACGTTTGATTATAACTTTACACGATGTCATCAAGAATTGGTAATTATGTGTAATTGTCCTTGTAGTTTAGGTAGCGAATTATTATCATATTTATTGTTTGAATGACCCTACAAGATACAAGAAAAAAATATATTAACATGAGATTTACATTACATATAATTAAATAGTTATTCAAGCCAACATTAAAAAACTACATTAAATAATGAAGAATATCTTAATGATAGTATAAATAATAAGTTTTACCTTCCGGATGTACTTGCTTTTGTCTCATGTTGTGTGGGTGAATATATTACGTCATGTTTCTTCTTTAGTTCTTGCACCGTCTTGGCTCTAAACTCCTGACCTGAAAACAAACAAAATGTATAAAATATATTAATACTGTTGTCATTTTTCAAGTACACATAATATAAATAATAAAAAGTAAACTGGTGAAATAATAATAGTTTATAAATACCTTGTCAGTTATTAATCGTCGAGGTCTCCGGCCAGATTCAACCATGGTGTCTATGAAAGCTTCAGTAACATCTTGTCCAGTTTTCTGTTTGAGTGGTCTCAACCAAACATACCTGGAGAATGTGTCTATCACTAACAAAATGTATTTGAAACCGTTGTTCCAATTAGCAAATTTCACCATATCGATTAAGTCAGCCATTCAAAAATCGTCTTTACCCGCCTTAACAACATGATTTCGTGTGAATCGTCTCCTAACCGGTTTGTGTAAACTATAAGATTCCTGATTATGCAAGAATTTTCGTATTTTGTGCATTCCGATATTAAATTTCCCTTCATTTTTTACCACTTTGTACAGTTTTTGTGGCCCAGCAAATGCGGCTGGGTGTTTTGGGTCAAAATATATTGACTTTAAATAATCCTCCCATGGAGCCATGTTTACTGTTGAGTGTCCTTGGTAGAAATGAAATGAATATAGCTATATGTACCTATAAACTAGTTTTCAGATTCCTCCTCATCGATGTCACTTTTTTTCTCGTCACTTTCTTCATCATCAGTAATTTCAGTCTGAAATAAATTTTCAAACTCAGTGTTATGTTTTCTCAAGACCTTTGTCACGGCTGAAGTTTTGTTATAACCTTTTGAAATAAATTTATTTATCTGAGCCATAATGTTGTTATGCAGTTCATTTTTCCTAAGTGGCAATACAAAATTGTCAATCAACATTGTATAATTCTTGAAAAACGCCTTTTTGTTGTAAGGCTAAATGCGTTCTTCTGTCATTTCCTGTGCTTCATCACTTTCTTCTCCGTCATCAATCAATTGGTTGTATATTCTGTTGAATTTTTCATCATTGGATTTTCTGGCTCGCTTCGATAAATTTACGTAAGCCTCATTATCTTCTAACGCATCTTCTTCGTGCTCGCTATCGCTTATTTCTTCATGTTTTCGTTTCTTCTGATACCTACTTTCAGGACACCATCTGCTTTTGACATGTCTTTGCACGTCATGAACATTGTCAAATAACTGACCGCAATCGTCACAGGCTTGTCCTTTATTTTTCCATGATAATCTCCAAATTATTTTCTAATTTATTATTCTGTATTTTTTCTGACTTATCCTCTATTTTGTTTGATTCTGAGTATTTTACGATGTTATCCGTATGAATTTCAGCAGCAGAATGATTAATCCTGGGATATTGTCTTCTTTCATAGGTTCTTGGGGGGTCACGTGACTTATGGATTTGAATTTTTAATTTTTTTTTTTCTATCATTTTTCCCTCGATTTGTGTAAATTTTTTTTAATGACCTAGGAACTTGATACTTGCAATTGTTTTAAAAGTTTTTAACTTTGCCCAGGATACTTTGTCTGCCAGTTCAACCCGTTTTTTGTCACGGGGTTATTAAACAACACTAAATAATGACATTTTCCCTTCTCTTGTAAAAATTTTTAGTACAAAAAAATTCTGATTGATAGAAATACGGAGAGAGATCCGGGGTGGGAATCCTCCCTAAAAAAAATCTGTAATGCGTTTACCTTTTCCCCGATTCGGGAAAAAATATCCAAAACAGAAATTTTTCATTCTGGGATAAATAAAACATCGCTTTTTTGGGGCCCCGGGAAACCTTTTAATTTTAAATTTTTTCGAGTAATACGGTTCTTACATACTGTGTAAAAAACGGTTTTTCCACGTTTGTATACCAACGATCCTTTGGATACCAGGTTGAATTTTAGAGCTGTTATACTGTAATAACTCTTTCACCATTGTTGTCTTCCCACAGGCTGAAAAAAGATGAAATTGTTTTAGTACTTTTGTTTTAAGTTAACACAAAACACTTTTTTTCATAACAAAAAACCTCAGCATTTTTACCAAGCTTTGCAAAAAAACATGAACTATATCTATTTTGCACTCCAGTTGTTGTAAAATCTATTAAAAAAAAAAAACACAAAATTTTCAAAGAAAGACTGTATTTTAAACATAAAAATATTTCAGAGAAAAAAAAAATGTTGAAAATATTTGTAGTTATGTATCCAAACTTGTAATAAATTATGTGTAAGAAAAAGTGTGATAAAATACCAGAAATATGTATATAACTACCCGTGGGACCTGAAATCATCATAGTAAATGGATGGTGAAACACCATGTTTTCTTTTTGCGGTGATGGTGGTGGTGATGGCGCAAGCAGAGTTGCTGTAACATGCGCTCCAGCATGCGCACATTTTGCCACATGCGCTCCTAAATGCGCCCCCGGCGCTTCCAAATGCGCTCCGGCGCTCTCAAATGCGCTCCCGGCGTTCCTAGATGCGCTCCCGGCGCTCCCAAATGTGCCTCTGGCGCTCCTAAATGCGCTCCCAAATGCGCTCCCGGCACTCCTAAATGCGCGCATTGCATCGTGTCTTGGTCTAATAGTCCTGGTTGTAAACATTTTGTATTTTTGGCTACGTTTAAAGTCTTAAAATGTTGTATCTACTACAAAAATTTTTTATTAACACGGGCACGTAATATTGTCCTTTGATTCGACAGCTAAAAACAAAATGACCGAAATTTTTTAAAAACTGTATTTTTTTTAGAATTGAATAAAAATGATCAATAAATTCTTTCATTCGGACGGTTATGAGCATGCGCAAAAAGTTGGTATATAAAAGTGTCAGTAAACACTATTTCATTTTATTTCCAAGTTGAATCTCTACCAGGCACTAGTGTTTATCAGGATATTAATAATATATTAAGGTATGTTTTGTAGTCTCGCCTGGCTTTTTCTTAGTCTCGCCCTGTTTTTGATGGAGATTTTATTTCTTAAATTTTAAGACCAACTTTTTTTCATGGAAACATTTACAGATATAAATTATGATGTAAAAAAATGTGTGATCTTGCTCAAATTTGTATAAGTTTTAGCATTTGAATAATTTTTATTTGTTTATTATTCACAGGGCCGTTGTATAAATTCGAGACTAATACATCATTTTATTTTCAGCTTATCGAGATGGCTTACCAATGTGAAGTTTGCGGGGACAATTTTGTCAAACTGAGTCAATTGCTCCAACACAGGAAAACTCAAAATCACTGACAATGATTTCAATGTCCGAGCTGTAAGAAAACGTTTACGAGGAGGCAAAACCTCGACCGTCACATAAAGAAACATGCTGATGAGAATACCCATCATTGCCCTGAATGTCTACGTGTTTTTACGTGGAAAGATGCACTGGACGAACATTTTATACAGCATGACAGCCAGAGTGGTGGAGGTAGAAAGAGAAGCCTCGCCGATGAACAGGGTGACATTATTCGGCATAAGCGACAGAAGGAAAAGATACCCTTCTAGTCTGGCCATTATCAGGATCTGCTTCTCATACAGTAACAGGATGTTCTGACTCTGAGAGAAAATATTCTTCTACATAATCTCTTCAAAGGTATACAATATACCCTGGTAACGTACAGAAAACTGTCCAGTTCAAATGCAGTATAGAATCATTTACTGGAATGTCTGAACAACTCTTCACACCTTTCTCTACTTACATTCAGTTTGCTGGTGAGTTCATTATCACATTGATGCCTGTGGAGATAAAATAGGAAGTCTCATGCCGAAATATTATCAGTTTGCCACTCATCATAGGGATCACAGTTTTTGATTTAATTCTTCACCTTCTATCACTAGTGTCTTTCGGGAAAGATACATTCATTGAAGTAATTGTTGTAATTTCGAACACTTATTTGTAACAGAATTCTTTAGACTTTACTTTTATATCTTAACTTATAAAATCAATATTAACAGAAAGCCATATATTCTTAATTTCATCGGGACGGTACAACGATTGTTCGTTTGTTTATTTACAAAATTTTATTGAGAACTTAACAATTTATCAATCTGTAAAATAATGATAAATGTTTCTGTCCACATCAGTTATGGTTTCAAATGCTACACTCAAAGATGGAACTAGTACAGTTACTGGACCACTACAAGAAATAAGTGGTATAAGTAAAACATTGACATGTGACACAAGCGTGAGTAGACCACGAGCTTTAATAGTTTGGTATATTGGAACACAAGACAAGCAAAGGTCTACATCTTCCACTTTTTCATTCAATCCACAGACCACCGATCATAACAAAACAGTCTACTGTAAAGCCTTTAACATACAACCAGAGAATCGAGCTGTCGTTTCATACAAATCAACACTTTTTGTTCAAGGTAGTTTGATATGCAGAATATTTTTGAAGATGAAATTCTTCTTTTTTGTCGTATGAACAAATAAAATAATTCATTTCTAAAATAAATATGAGATTTTTTACTTTACTTTATAGTTAATCAGTTACAGAAGGATAACGTAGACAAATAAAAGTGAAATTAAGGAAATTTTCAAAATTATTAAGGTTTTTGTTACATCATTATTATTTATGGTCCATATATGTAATATTCCGTACAAATAAGTTATTTCGATCATAGAATAGTTAGTTATTCATGGTAAACATTTATATCATTTGTGAATTTTCAGCATATTTCTAAAGTCTTATATATAATGATTTAAAATGCAATTATATCCAAAACTTAATTATAGAATTATATCATTTAACTAATTTTTAAATCATGTTGATATTGAACAGATAAACGGAGTTATTCCTTATAGTTTTTACGGAAAATGAAATACGAATAGAAAAGTGTACATAAATGTAAAATAATTCAGTGATATGCTAGCATCGTTATTTTGATTAACATATATTTTAATTGTTAACATGCTAATATTTATTTGTATGATGATGTGTTCTTGTGAATGTCAAAACCAATATCTGCTACGTTTAGTACTATTTTTCATTCTTTTGACGCATGCTAAGATGATATGAAAATATGTCTTTATTTTAGAACGGGCAAAAGTAAAGTCGTTTTATATTGGAAAGAATGAAAGTCAAACGGTGGCGACATTTGAGGAACACGATGTGAACATTCCGCTTAGTTGCATTGGAAATGGAATATCTGCCAAAGAACTTTATATCATATTTAACGGGGACATTATTGCAAGACAGTCTAACACAAATAAATTAGAATATAATGTTCAAGACATAACTTGTACTACAGGCGGCATTTATATCTGCAATGCACTTGATAATTTCGGTGCCTCAACAAATAAAACTGTTACGTTATTTGTAGAATGTAAGTTTATCTTAATAAAAACTCAGTCCTTAACTTTATCAATATATAACCGGTATATGTTTAAAAATGATTTATTTTTGAAATTGAATCTAGTGGTAACTGATATCAGATTAACAGTACATGAACATTTGTTAAGTAGCCACTTAATGTCATGACATATATTGATTAGATTTTTTATCAAGTAATTTAATCAATTTATGATATTTTAATTTAAATGATTAGAATAATAATTTTGTTGTACAAAGGATTTTATTTTTGGTAGGTTCTCCACGACCAGTTCAACAAGTTCTTCACAATATAACAAGTCAAGTCGGAAAACCCGTAACACTTTACTTCATGGTTATAGCTTATCCTAAACCTGGACCTAAAGGATTTTCATGATTTATGGAAGATCGGCTTAATTGGGTTTCTTTACTGAGTAACGAAGGTCTTCAAATTTCATCAAATGATTTGGAGACAAATTTAACAATCTCAAATGTATCTCGTGAACATTTTGGAAAATATCGTGTAACTACTGTTAATAGAATCGGTTCATACGATCAGATATTATTCCTCTCAGAGAAAGGTATTGTTAGTTGTTATACTTTTTGAAATGGACAATTTCTGGACCTAATAACACATCGTCTTGGCTAAAGAAACTATTATTATTTGTACTGAATTTAACGGACATTTTAACTTTTATACATTTTATTCCTGAACATGAATCAGTTCCAACATTAGTGTTTGTAAGCTTTATTATTGCCTATTTATATTCTTATCTGCTTACTTAGATTTCAGACTTGACACTTGCAATACATGCAATAAAGAGAAATGCTCCTTTACAACTACAATAGTTCTCGGGATAGTATGTGTCGTTCTGGTTGGTTATGGTACTGGTGTATCCATATTGTACAAAAGATATACCTCTAAGAAAGGTAAATATTTTTTATAAGGTTTCCTACAGTTTCTTTAAGTAAGACCTTGTAATTGACTGTTATAGATTGCTTTGCTCAGTTCATGAATTTGTCGAATTCCTTTGCTCGTTTCACGAATGTGAAAAAAAAATCTGAAAGTGAACTGGTTTATAATGTATTAGACATAACCATAAACCACGAAAGCTTTATACATGGAAGTTATTGCCAAGTATAGGATACATGATCCGATATTAAATATATTTATGTAGCAGAACATTAAATGCTATTGAACAAAAAATTATTACTCATCATATAATTGTTCATTCTAAACTATTTAGAAGTCTATTAACATTTAATTCAAGCAACATGTTGTATAGAAGTATATCTCAATAACACTATTCTATTGTTTTTTTTATCAATATTTGAAATATTTATGGAAAATGCGCCCATTGCACACCTATCTAATTGAGATTGAAACAGTTGTACTAAAATACCAAAACCAAAACAATTTTATAACTTAATACAAGTTAAATTTCTTATATCAGGTACAACAACACATTCAAGATATGGATCAAGAACGTAAGTTTTGCATATTTTTTGTAATAATAAATTCATCCATTTGACAGTAGTCTTTTCCATCATTTATGCTCTTTCTGGTTCTTCTTATACTAGCTTGGAGTATATAAACAAAAATATAATTCCTTTACAAACGCACTATAGCGGAGAATAAATAAAACAAAGTTTAGAAAGAAACCTTTGTTTACAATCAACAAATAAATCTTATTAATCATATACATATATTTTAAAAGATTTAATTTATATTGTTTGGCATCAAAGTACAGACTAGAGCTATTATGTTTCTTTATGTATTATAAATTTTGTGCTTGTTTCAGTAGGAATGACTGTATAGGAAATAATACTGATGTAACAGAGGAACAAGGTTACGAAAATAATGTTACAGAAGCTGACGAGGACACTTCGAAACAATTTACTGAGCTGACACATTACTCTAACGATACTGCACCATATGAACCGTTACGTGTTTAGATAACTAAAAGATGGTTGCAACTTGTTTTAAACTCTTTGTCAAAATGTCTGTATGAAAGTGAAGTGAAATGTTCACATTAAGTGGTTTATTTCATATACTCGTACAACGTAAAATATTTGATACATACCTCCATTGCGATGGTTTGAATATATTTTGATGTATAATGAAGTTATAAGTTATGAGGTATACTACTGTGTATTATTTAAGACTTGACTTGGGGCCATCTACCTTTCAGAAACTTAAGAGTACGAATTCAGTATATGAATGCACAAATGAAATACATTTGTTACTCTTTGAAAGACCGGTTGGGACCATTCAACTTCATGAGTTGCCGATTCGTCTTCGTGATTTCACAATTTTAACTTTGTTAATTCACATAAGCGACATACGGGATTCACGAATTCTAGATTTTAGCTTCATGAATTGACAAAATTGAATTGAAGTTGAAATCGTGAATTCGTGATGTTAAAAGTTCAAATGTCCTCACCGGTCTTTCGTATCATTCTCCCAAGTTCATTTGTTTCCACTGAGTTTTGTTTTTACTGTCATGATATTTAATTGATTATATCTAAAATATTCTATCCTTGTTTTGCAAATATATGCATCATATTAAATAATAATATATGTATTTCATGAAATATTTGTGCATGTATACACTGTTTTTTCTTATTCTACCTTTATACCATTTTTTCTATTTTGCAAATGTTAATAGCATTATTTTATGCAACTTTGTATTAGACTTTGCCTGACATTATCATGTTTATTTGGAATACTGTTGATATATGTTACATCCAATATACCCAAAGAAAAATAAAACTGTTGTTCATCTGAGTAATATATAATAAAATGCAGGCACTTGTGACAGAAATTTTGTAAAAGTTGATAAGTTTGTGTACAAATGACCGAAATACAGTCATCTTACAGCTTGGTAGGATTATCAATCCTTTGACTTAATATAATATTAGATGTGACTATAAATTTATGCCGTCATATAAAATGAAAAAGCCTTTCAAAAGACTTATATTCGTAATTAAATAAAACTTTAATTTACGAATATAAGTTTGTTTGTTGATGGTGTATTTGATACTTTCAATTTGTAGTAATCGATCTAATCAACATCTTGTATAATAATTATATATAACTGTAAGACATATTGTATTATATAGCTAGCTTAAGGTCTTCAGCCGTGACAGGACGGGTACACTGAAACAACGTCGTAGGGTAAGTCCAACAATAATCAATAATTCGTGCAAGGGATCTGACACACCCGTTTTTATTTATGTAGCATGGCATGGAGTAAGGTGAAACATATCCTGATAAAATAATATATAATCTAATAATAAGCTTAGTATCAACATATAAAATCTAATTTCGGACATAAGCGTCTAGTAATTTCTGATAGCTAAAACACTTCAGCACTTGACCGCCATCTTGCAACATGTTTGCATTCTAATTGGTTCGAGCATATTTCGTCAAACGTAATGTAAGTATAAAGAGAGTAAAATAGAAAACTCGTTTACATGTTGTACATTGTAAGAAATCTTTGAGTTATTTGATCATATATGTACCATATCTAACATTGTTCTTATGCCGTGAAAAAAGAAAGAAAGAAAAAAACAACAACAAAAACAACAACAACAAACGAAGGCACATCCAGGAAAGCATATAAAAACTGACAATTGAATTATTACATTTTTGACCACATAGTTGTTGGTATCTACATGCAATTTAAACTGATTGAAATAAAAGATTGATAAATATCTATCTAAAAAGCTGTTTCTCAAAACTTGTTAAATGAGTTGAATCCCACTAATGCACTTGCGTTGGCATAATCAACTCCTTTTCTTCGTTTTTTTGAAATTCTCTAGGAAGAAAATAATTTGAAAAAGTCAAATCAAATTTCTTCTTAATAAACATTTCATGGTAAAACAATGTGGTAAGTAATAAATGAAGTTAGTTGTGGCTCTTTCAACATGCACAATGTATATATACAGTCAAACTTCGTTCGGTTGAATTGGGAGGGCTTGTGCATATAAGTCCGAGAGATCGGTAGTTCGAGCCAACCGAGGTTCAGCCATTTTCACGTAGGATAGACCGGTAGAATAACATAATTGTTTATTAGTACATCAGTTCGTTCATTTCTAGTAAATATTAAGAATTAATATCCCAGTTTTTTCCAACAGGTAACAACGGTACCCTGTGTTAATCTATATTCATGCATATTGTAATTGGTTGAGTTTGATTGCGCAATCATTTTCCAAACTTGTAGAACAACGTTCAAAATATATTTATATGTTTTTTACATGATAAATTTTATTTTAAACAATGAATTAATAAAATATTAAAAGCAAAATACAACAGCATCTATTTGTAGCCATTTATAAAAATAAACACAAGTATAAGTATCATCCTATGAATGGATAACACTGTTACAATTCACGTTTCATGAACCACGACTGTAATAAAAGCCGTCCGGGTAAACATCATTTTTTTATTGACCATTTCACGATTTAGTTTTCTTTTAATGTTATTTAGGACGGTAAAGAAACATCTTCTTGTTTTATAAGATATGAATGTATTCTTAAAATCTTTAATTTAACACAGATTATAAAAGATCCTACAAGAATTACATCAAATACAAAAACGTTAATAGATCACATAGTATGTAGTTTATTATTCTGATAAGGTTTTCCAATCAGGTACTTTACCTTTTTGTCTTAGTCACCACGTACCTATATATTGTTAAGAAAATCACAATAATGCACTTTTAATAAACACAAAAATTTTGTTTCTAGATCAATGAAAAACTACTCTGCTGAATTTTTTATACATAATCTTAAACTTTGTGACTGGTCGAATATGTTTACGGCAATATCTGTTGATGAGTCATGGCTTTTTTTAAAGATATGTTTTTTATCAGTTCTAAATGTAGTTGATCCTGTAAAAGAAGTAAGCCTTAAACAAAGGAGTGAACCTTGGTAAGACTCTATCATATTAGCATTGATAAATATAAATGTTTCATTTTTACATGAATTTAGAAAACATAATCAGAAAGATATGTATAATTAATACTGTCTTTATAGAAACTTAATACAGAGACAGATGAAAAAGCTAAGTCTGGATACATCTCACATCAATTATAAGAAAATAAAAAAACTTCACCAAATATTGTACTTAACATAGATGTTGAAATTTGCTTTGAACCAACAAAAATTGCTAGTCATTTTAACCAGTTTTTTTTACTACTGTTGCTTCTGTTTTGGTGGATAAATTTCCAAATCAATTTAACATTTTTTCTGTAGAATCAGACATTTTTTTTAAAGAATTCTATAAGAACAGAAATCAAGAAAAAATTAAATTTCAATAACAAAATGTAGTGAAAAATATTATTTTAAGGTATAAAAATTTTCCCCTTTCCCTTAAATCTATTGGGACAAATTTTTTAAATTTAAGAATTAAAAATCTGTCCCAGCCAAAACATGGCCAAAATTGCAGATTTTTTTCAGAGAATAAAGAAATAAAATACGTGGAGTATGTATAAAGCAACGAGCAAATTGATGTAACAAGATAATTAGACGATATTTTGTCTATACAAGGTAGTCAACAGAATTTTTCTATACGTTTCTATTCTGCGTTTCTGATCATTCAATGAAGGAACTACATTTGTACATTAATTTATTTTGAAAAAAATACACATAACAAATTGATAAATGCTCAAATAGTTATAGTCTCTTTTCATATATCACAACTGATCTTTATGTAAATAAGTTAAATATATATCTTGTAGAAACCTAGGCACATATAATTGTTTTTTTGTGAGGCACTATATTTTTTTTACTGTGAATTAAAAAAAACCCATAAGCTTTTCAAGTATAAGCTTATTATTTTTGCAGTATAATTATGTGTAAGACCATTTATGTACTCCTCTTATATTGTTACCAAAATTCACTTTTAACTAGTGTTTTTCGCAACAGAACCCAAGATTTATAAAGGTTGTGCTGCAATACAAAGTCATATTGAATTTGTAAAACACACACGATAAACAAGAGACCTCCCTCTGATAACTTGCTTTTTAGCAATTTCTGAGCCAGTTAATGCCGAATTTGTGTCGACAAAGGTAAATTGTTTTCCTTTTATATATGATGAAATAATATGTATGTTGTAGCCGCGTTTCAAAGTTTGTGAATTTGGCTTTGAAATGGACCGTTTCAACTTGAAAGTATTGCTATTGTCTCATAGTTTAATCTACTCGCCAATCCAGCTTACTTAAACACGAATGCGTAGATATTTTGTCAAGAATGCAATTTAAATCTAAATCAAAACCAAAATTGAATTTCAATTTTCTTACGTTGTAATTATTCTTACGTCTCCCTGTTTTGAATTGCACCTTCAGCGTTATTGGTTATATTAATAGGTTGGTCCTAATTCGAATATAATTATCCTACTATTATCAGAATGATCTCTCTTTTCCGCCCTTATGCCCTTCCTTATTTATACCCAGGTCATGTTCAGTGTCCAATTTAAAGCCTTAATTAAGGGTGGTTGTGTGAGTTGGCATTGTTTGGGCAGTATTCCGTTAACATCTCTCCCGTCATTATTTATTTGATTAAATTAATCAATTAAATTTGGAATGTTTTGATTTATATTTTGTTGTGAATTATACGTTTACATACAAAGTCATAAAAAGTTTTGTAAATTTTCTCCCTACTATAATAAGTAACAATGGTTGTAACGGGGAAAATCTCTACAAAGATTCACTCCCCAAAGACGATAATGATAGAAATACACAAACATAAAAAACACTTAAACTTGTTATATACTGTTCTCCCTCTAGTTTTATCGTTTTCCGTATTTTCTGTATCCAAGATATTCATATAAATCGGAGCAACTCTATGTGTCGTCGTAAATCATTCTTGTACTTAACCCATTACTGCATGAGCATTTTGTGGAAAATGGCGGTTTTCATTGAAAAGCCCCTGTTGCAAGTTCAGATTGCTATGAAACTATAACGATGCTTCAATATTCACCAAACTTGAAACAAATGTTGACTGCCCCATAGCCTTAGTAACGGCATGCTCAATCTTAAAATTGCATCTCAAAATTGCCAAAATCACTTTTTTGTGTTGACTTTTTCACTCCAAACTGATTTCAAAGTGCTGCAACTTCTCAATTGATTCAGATAGAGTCAAAGGCTTTTCAGCATTGGTTACACGTTACCTTCTGATCGACCTGAGGCCAGTTTAAGCCTCTCACAGTCCAAAATTTTCTTAGCGTTGCGAGGACTGCTGCCCGTTCAAACCCCTAAGCAGATGGGGGCACATACCCCGTCTGACACCCCTGATGCATCTTTCTGATAGGTGGCGGCGCCGAAAAAAAAGATAACTTCTTTAAACAACATTTTAAAACGAAAACAAGTGTTTGGGACCTCCATGGGACATTTTAAAACTATTTGAGGCCTAAAAAAAGGGGGGGGGTGCGGGTCGAAAGTGCGTTGTATATATGAGGTAACGGGTTAAAAAAAACCCATACAAATATATTAAATATAGATAACGTTTTTATTTTACCAAATTTCTTAATCTTTAAGCAATTCGTCACTGTTATCATCTGTATATGAATCAGTACTGTACACATCAATATAATTTATAACCTCTTTATTTCATATCACAGTTCTATAAATCTATAAGTTATACGGACTGATTCAATTTTCCAAGAATTAAAACGAATCCCATTCATCATCAAATCTCATTAAACTAAAGTTTGAAAAGTCAACGAGTAAACACATATCTCAGTTATCTTTTAAAGTCATTAAAACAGTTAAACGTACAGAAACCATAAAAACAATTCCGTTTATGTTTGAAAAAAGTCGTACATTTTATCTGATACTAATATTATAGGCACAATTTAACTCAGAAACGAAAATAAATATTCTGAAGAAAGGGCATTCAATAATTTAATAACCTTTTAAATAATGATTTAGGAGCATGTTGGATGCTTATGACCCAAGGAAAGTAGCGCTGAATATGAAAAGATTTGTCATTAAAGTGGCAAAATGTAAAACAAAGTAGTGCAATGTATTTTGATTATTCATGTTTTCATCAACAAACCATTGCGTCTTCGCCATCTTACCAACGCGTGTTCACCATTGTATCACCGCCTTCCGTCGTCATACGCAGTCATACATATTTATCAGCATAAAGATATAGGTTTAACATTTTCCTTAGGTGTTCCTTACAATCAAATAAGAAACTAAAACCAACACACAAGTAGAAAAACGTACATACAAGTATTGTTACTAAATTTTACGTAAAAAGAAGTCCCAGAAAATTATTCTAACAGTTTTACATTGTTCGTGACGATTAGAAATGAACAAGAAGCTATTATTGTTATATCTTAAGGCCAAACGTTCAAGACATATCCTTTTTATAACAAGTAATTATTTGTTAATCAATAATGAAAGTGTTTCAATAATAGGATTCATATAATTAAATTAAAGCATTTATATTTTTATAGCTCTGCCCAGAATACCACCACTTCAGTAGATGGATGGTGGATAAATCGATGCATGAGAAAAAAATAGATAGCTGGATGTTATAGGATAGATAAAGCATATAATACATACAAAAAAGCTAGATGTTATGTTCACATTCATTGTGTCCGTAAAAAATGAAATTGTCCGAAAACGATGCATTAGTAAAAATAATAGTGTAAATGATGATAATAATAATAATATCTTAAATCAGAGAAGGTGACATACATAGTTTACACAAGAGAACATGTATACTTACTTTCAGTACGAATTTTTAATTTAACAATAATAAAGAAAACGAATAAAAATTATTAAAAAAGAAAAACTACTTAAGATAATGTTTTTATTGTCCATATAAAGTATACAGCATGAGCCGATTTTACAAATGAATTTACGTACTTATGTTTTAAACTTCCTCATGTATACGTTTATGGTTTCAAACTTCCTGATCTAAAATGAAATACAATCATATATGATGACGGACTCAATGGTGAAATCTAGATATAAGATGACCTGTTTAAAATGGTTGGATTAAAAATTCTATATGTTTATATAACCGGATGTATAGCTTATTTACATGCTGGTGAGTAATATAAACTACTTCACAGGTATACATTTAATTTCATTAATATTACACAAATAGAAACAAGTAAAATGGTTTCCTGCGGGGAACATTTTTAATGATATAAAGATTTTTCATATATTATTAGTTATAAAGATTGTTGACAGGTTATATGGCCCTATACAAACAGCCATTTATATACGGCCATATATCCTGTCAACAATCTTTATAACGATTTTATATTACAGCAAGCATAATTATTTTAGAGAAAAAAGTAAGATTTCTTCATGAAACTATATAAACGTCACGATTATCCAATGAAAAGCGACGTTACAAACGTGCAGTATTATAAAGTTGACAATAATCGATCAATATAGAAGAAGGTCTTTGGAAACTGGTGACCGTTGAAGACCGGAGAAAGTCGAACATAAAACAATTATTTCTTTTTAAGAAAATGATAAATAGGCCTACCATTTTATGAATAATTCCGAGCAAACAAAGAATAAAGTAAACACACAACTTTACGCAGAAAATATCTCTATTTATTATGGCAGATGCCACTACGAAAATTTTAATTTTGTAGATTTTCAGTATAAACAATGTTTGTAAAATTTGAGATAGATTTTAAAGATACATTGATCATTTTCAAACACATCATTCAAGTTTTTCCACCTTAAACGGTAAAATAATTATAGAAAATTAGAAATATCACGTAATAGTTTTTTGTTCTTAATAAAATTAATGTAATTCGGACTAATTCCCTAGAGGTAAATCCGTAACGTACCGGCAAACGGTATTTAGCTAGGCTTTCGAAAAGGTTAATTAACCAATCATGTACGGTTTACAGATCACATGCTCCTCCATGTACCGAAAACAGGTCACGTGCTCCTCCATGCCTCAAAAGTTAAACGCGTACCAATACCCTGCGGTCTCCAGACCGCAGGGAATAATGGTGTTCGTGCTGATGCTGACACATTGTTAATAATTTCAGTATCTTTTAAATGTTCTCCGTTAAGTTACATTTTATAGTATCTCAATATTCTTTAAAGCTACATTAAATAAATATGAAAAAATATTTTTGCCGTCGGCCTAAAAACCAAGCATTCTACAGTTTCATTAAACTTTTTAACAGTATCGTTATTAATCTCATCAAATACTGTCAATAAATTAGGATTTTAAATGGAAAACCCCACGGTAACACTTAAGTTTGTATACGAATTTTAACATGCAAATGAAGACTATAATAAGCTCGTGTATGCGCTTCGTCACGGTGTTGTAGTTGCTATCCGGAACACAGCAAATATAAGATTTTCTTGTACAAACACAATTTAACCGTTTAAGATTCACGGTGCACTAGGCCTGTGGTGCAGAAAAAAATAATCATCTCATAAAAAAGATCATTAAATTTGTATGAAAATAACCGTTACAATGCGGAAATATACCGTTAAATTAGGACTGCTACTTATAGTAATGTTTGTTGATTTAACATTGATGTACTGTCCTAGGATGATAATTTGGTCTTAACGGTACATGGGAAAGTCCAAAAACGGGGTTATCTGGATTATTATCCGGTAATGTAAAAGTAAATACTTACATATACTATATTGCATAATTCTTACAGTATCGTTTGTGTATTACCGTTATGGCTCTGCTGGTAGATCGAAGTAATTGTAACTTTTAATGTTTTGTACTCATAGGTTCGAACCCCACGTAGTGCCATTTTATTACCACAGTTTTTTTTCTTTTTGCTCTGTTTTTTATCATTATTATTTATTTATTTTTCGTTTTTCTTTTTGTTTTCTTCTTATAATATATATCTTATAGTATAATATTTTTTATTTCTATTCTATTTTTCTTTTTTGTATTTTTCGATCGCAGTGTAACAAAATTTTCGATCTCATATTCATGTATGTATATGAAAAACCGGTCAAATTTGTCTTACCAGTAGTCGAACTTTTGCCTGTACGGGTAAAACACATTACCGACACGATTGCTCTACCTACTGCGCTAACAAGACATACGATAACACGTAGATTTATTTTCATTTTTATGGGTTGTGGCATTGATCTACCTAACCTATTTTTCGCATTGTTATTGGTCTTTGTTATGTAAACAAAGGCTCAAGTTATCATCCTAGGACAGTACGGATGATCTGAAGGCGGAGTTTCTCATGCACACAACAATTGTACTTCCGAATTCGCCACAATAAGGGTGCACATTTGTATGCTCATAAAACTCATTTTGGTTGTCTGGACACCAAAATAAGACATGGAGTCGATATGAAACCCAATTTATTAATGAAATGTTGCTATTTCTGTTTTTATAAAAGTTATTAAATGTAACTTTAACGTATATCCAATATTATTGACGTTTCAAATATGCATACAAAAAAGCGATCACTTGAATATTTCATCACACTTCAATGATAGCTTACTACGTGTACAATTAAGAAATTTGAAATAAATAAAAGTCAATACATAATGAAGAGAATGCGTAGATAAAAAAGCTTTTGTAAATACTGGACTCCACGTTCAACTGATACAAAATCTTAATCACAGCGTTTAAATGCTATCAGATGGCGATCTTTAATAAACGGGGGGAATTTTATCGTTCATTCTTTATCAGCGAATGAAAATCCATGGCATTTATTACACAATTATGGTTGATGATGTATTTAAACTATAAATAGTTCGTTCCGTATGGAACATCAATTTGTGTTGAGTTAAGTATTATGATAATTTACCTCAATATCTTTATTATCAAAGAACTAAATTGGTTTACCTGTAAATTGTTATTTTCAAATATTCCGCTACTACTGTCTTTTATCTTATATATAAAGATAATAAAACTTTTTGTTTTATTTTGGAAAAAAATTGTTAAAATTTTAAGGATCATTTATGTAAAATACCTTTTCGACTCCTTTCAAGACTTTTAAACAAAGTCTTTTCTTAGATAAAACAAATAAGTCAGAATATTTTTCAATTTGAATAGATTTTATAATGTTCGCCTGAAGGTGACATTTTTGCATTTTTGATGACTCAAATGAAGGATAGAATGTTGATATTTTAAAGCATATTTGATGCAGATCGTGTTTTTGTATACTGGCATAATTCGCAGTAATAACATAAGTATAATTAAAATCCTTTACATTATTATTACAATTTTAGGAACTGTTGAGAGAATATACATACGTGACAACAAAGCAGCATTGAAAAGCAGTAATATACAGCTCGTGTGTGAGATATCACAGTTTAGTAGTTCTGTAACAGTAGAGGTCTACAAGAGTGACACTAGTCTTCCTTCCTCACTTGCTGGTATCAACTCGATGACTGTATGTTCTCAATCATTATGTCTGACAACAACTATTGGTAGATATACATTTAGTGCTGACAACAGTAGCGTCTACATCAACATAACCAGTGTCAACAGATCGGCGGATCAGAAATGGTGGACATGTTCAATTATAAATCAAAGAAAGGATCTGTTGTTGAATGTCATAAGTATGCAACTTTCACTCCCAAATTATTCTTTTTATTATTGTATAAGAAATAATGTATGATAAAATTCATAATACAAATGAAACTATATATTTTACAAATGCTACCGTTAAGACAACTTATGACAGTGTTCATCTTTTACGTAATTACAATAATATTTATCCATTACCTCAAATGTATTACGAGATATAAGCTAATGTGGAAACAACTGGTATATGATTTTCAATTAAACTACTATGATAAAAATATATAGATTAGTCAATATCAAAAGCAGATTATAAGTCGTATACTGGTACTACACAATAATTTGTTTAACTTTTAATATTGAATATTTAAATAGAGGATATTAGATGAGTATAGATTCAATACTGAATTTATTGAACAAGTTGAATAAAATCATATTATGCGAGCCTCTGGGAAGCATAATATTACTCTATTCAACGAGTCTAATAAATCTAATAATGAGCCTACACGAATATAATACTCTATTTATCATATACCTAAGAAAAAGACAGTTTAAATCGAAAAAGAATATTTTTCATTGACGCGCCTATAGTGTAATGCTAACATTTAGCGCGTCTTAACGCTATATTTGTATGTTGACGTCACGCCAAAATATCTGCACGGCCGTGCCATACCATTTTTATGGAGTCGTAAAATCGGCATGGGTATGTGATAAAATGTTTTATGCAATTTGTATGTTTTCATTATAAATGAAAATATACAACTGAACACCAGTGAATTATTTAAAACACGAGTTATTCATGATCGGTTGTCTTTCGTTATTATTATCAAATATTTTAAACCTTATTATCAATGTGCTATTCGCATATAATTCATATTATATTTCCGGAAATATTTACATGATTTACTTCAAACTCCCATATAATAATAATATGACAAGGTAATCTACCGTCCATATTTCCAGAATTATCCCCCCGTAAACTTTGAATGTCCCTTATTTATCTTATTACTTTAATTTCTTTATGAATTAACTTTAAATTTATTTCAAATATATATTCATTATTTACACCTACATCATATGTGATTATATTTATAAGGTTAGCGAATGTGATTTTTTTGGATATTCCAGCTGTACCAACATCACTTCAGTATGAAAATCCTCCGAGCCAGAACCAAGATCTCGCACTAAATGCAGTGCAACTTAAATGTAGTACAGGATGTTCCTATCCGCAACCATCATTTACTTGGTATTATTCAGAGGTACGATTTACTTACCTTTTCATTCCGGATGAAGAAGAAGGGAAGAAAAGTACATATGGCGGTCACCGTCTTACTTTTTGCGTTATCTGCCTATAAAAAGTGAGATTTTCCTCTTTTTAAAGTCAGTTTCGTTACATAATTACAGGTCACATCAATGACTTTTTTTATAATGGCTTCATACTGTCGTAATGAGAACTGAACTAAATCACGAAGATCTCACCTTCCTTGGTTTCATGCTCTAGAAAAGAAAGCAAGTGAAACGCATTTTCTCTGGAAACACGAAACGCAAGCAGATTAGATGTGAAGTATTTCAGACACTGTTAGCGCCACTTGTTTGTATAAAACATGTTATATTGTCATATTGTCATTACCGATACAACTATTTTTATTCAATGTGCTGGATAGTGCAATCTTAAGAATTAATCAACATTTCAGCCAGGAAGCGATTCCCTTCAGGTCTGGTCATCATCAGAGTCTGCTTCTGATACAACAAGAGGATGTTCTGACTCTGAGAGAAAATATTCTTCAACTTTATCTCTTCCAAGATATACAACATTCACTGGTAACGTACAAAAATCTGTCCAGTTCAAATGCAGCATTTTATCATTTACTGGAATGTCTGAACAACTATACACAGGTTACTCGAGAGAAATTCAGTTTGCCGGTGAGTTCATAATTACATAGATGATTATCGACATACACTGTATTATTCTGTCACTTAACTTTCTGTTGTCATAGGAATTAAAATTCACAGCTTTAATTATTTGTCTTATTTCACTTTTGTCTCTCTATTATTTTTTTTTAGAAAATGAGTCGTTCTTTGTATTAATTTTAATGTGAATATCCCTACCATAGTTTTTTTGTGGTGGGGATCACTTTATCGCATCCCGTCTCGTCGCAGAAAATATGAAAAACAAGATAAACACGGAAGGGCGGCCTTCAATGAACACAAACGGTAGAGCCCTTATTTAGAAATCTGGAACATTAAAGCGTCTATTCAACTGTCTTCATCAAGTTTCATAACTCTGATTGTTTAATTTAGAAAATATCCCCAAAAATGTACCAAATTGTCTATTGCTTGATTGTTAACAAATAAATTGAACACAATAATCCTTTAAAATGTACCTCCAAATTGACTAGACTGATCTTGACCTTAAGTCATAAATGAAATTGACCTTCAATATCCAATTATTGAAATTTTCTAGTTTTGCTATAACTGGCTAGAAATTTGTTATTTGAGCCGTGTCATTACAAAACCAACATAATGGCTTTGCGACCAGCATGGATCCAGACCAGCCTGGGCATACGCACAGTCTGATCAGGATCCATGTTGTTCGCTTACAAACTCTTTAACAAGTAGAGAAACTGATAGCGAACAGCATGGATCCTGATCAGACTGCGCGGATGCGCAGGCTGGTCTGGATCCATGCTGGTTGCAAAGCCATTATGTTGGTTTTGTCGTGACATGGCTCATTTATGAATGAATCTTCTTCATATTAGACTCAACATTCTTTAAGAAAATACCTTTATGAACATCAAACCAACATGACAAACCGTGGCATTGAAATGATATAGGTCTTGAATGTGTAATTATTGAATTGTCACTGTATTTTGCTATGATTGGCTGAAAAACTTTACTATCAGTAAATGGAAATTTTGACATAATAGTGCGTCTTTTCAAACATGAAAATCACAAAATTAGAGCTTACGTATTTATAAATGAATTTCACATTTGGACACAACAATCCCTGGGAATAGAACTTTAAGTTGATTAGACTTTCATATTTTATATTGATCTTTACTTTCAAGGTTCACTTATTGATTTTTATTTTCAATTTTGATGTAACTGATTTAACTTGTGACAACCCCCGTTCCATCTCAGGAACCGGTTTATTAACTTGAACCCCAAATATTGAATTGAAATATCATAATGCACTGTGTGTTTAAGTTTTATTACTCAGATAGGGACTTTGTCATTATTTACTCAAATTGGCTTCAGAAGACTAATTGTTTTACTTGTTTTATTTAGTTAAGTCCCTTTTTCTTTTTTTAACCAAAATAATGGTATGCAGGTGATTATACTATTTAAGCAATGTAAAGTATAGGCAATGTAATTAATTGTCATAATTATTGGTACATAGATGAAACATCATAACATAAAGGTCCAAATCGAAGTCAGCTTCAGACAACTTAATTTACAAATTGTAAAGGTGGCTGAGGGGGTATGTCTCACGTTCAGTGATAGTTCAAGATCTAAGTAATCATCAAAATCTTTAAAAACACTTAAAAATCTTTAAAAACACTTAAAGAATAAATATCAACATTTTTATAGGCTTTAAATTAAAATTCGGTAGAACTGGATTTCTTGTGAAATTGGTTCAGCTTTCTTCTTTTGCTTTAATAGAAATAATTTTGTTTTATTGTTTTGTATTGGTAGAAGTAGTGAATGTCAAACCACTTGCCCTTAACCGCTATGGGTTCATATCCCGCTAGGGAATTCTTTATGTGAGGAAGTAATCCAGGCAGCTAGCCAAACATTGGGGGTTCTAATCATGTGCCCATTCATGCTTTGAACTATAAAGTTGCTAATTTTATTTTTTATCGTACAGTCTAACGATTGTTCCATTTCAATTACAAAATATTATTGAGAACTTTAAATCATGGAAGTTTCAATATCTCTTTTACCTTAAAAATGTCATCCATCTGTATAATAATAAAAAGCCCTTTGCTTTTGTCTACATCAGTTCAGGTATCTTATGCTACACTCAAAGATGGAACTGGTACAGTTACTGGACAACTACAAGTAATAAGTGGTATAAGTAAAACATTGACATGTGACACAAGCGAGAGTAGACCAGCAGCTACAATAGTTTGGTATATTGGAACACAAGAAAAGCAAAGGTCTACATCTTCCACTTTTTCATTCAATCCAAAGACTATCGACCACAACAAAACAGTATACTGTAAAGCATTTAACATACAACCAGAGAATCAAGCTGTCGTTTCATACAAAACAATACTTTTTGTTCAAGGTAGTTTGATATGTAGAATTTTTTCGAAGATGAAATTCTTTGTTTTCGGATGAACATTCCAATAATAAAAATGATATTTTTCAGTTTATAGATTATATAGCAGTTACAAAGAAGGACAACCGTCATATTATAAGGTTTTTGTTAAATCATGATAATTCATGGTCGATATTACTAATTAGCCATACAAATAAGTTACGTCAATCATGGAATAGTTATTCATGCTAAACATTTTATATCATTTGTGAATAATCAGCACATTTCTAAAATCTTATCTGTAATGGTTTAAAATGCATTTCTTTCCAAAAATTACTTGTTGGGATAATAATGAATAATAGTAGAATTATATCTTTAACTAATTTTATATCATTTTGATATTGAGATTAAGATGATATGAAAAAAATGTCTTTGTTTTAGAACGGACAAACGTAAAATCGTTTTATATTGGACAGAATGAAAGTCAAACGGTGGCGACATTAGAGGAACATGATGTGAACATTCCGCTTACTTGCATTGTTACTGGAATATCTGCCAAAGACCTTTATATCATATTTAACCGGGACATTATTGCAAGACAGTCTAACACAAATAGATTAGAACACAATATTCAAGACATAACATGTACTACAGGCGGCATTTATATCTGCAATGCAGTTGATAATTTCGGTGCCTCAACAAATAAAACTGTTACGGTGTTTGTAGAATGTAAGTTAATCTTATAAAAAGCTAGTAAGTATTCTAGTTTTAATAGTTAAGTACAATAAAAACTAAGTCCTAAACTTTATCAAAATATATACCGGTATACTGTTTACTTAAAAATGATTAATGTTTGAAATTGAAAATCGAGGCAACTGATATCAGAATAACAGTACATAAACACACCACGTTTAATATTTAGAATTATCCATCTTATTGTAACGACATTAATGTATTAAATGAATAATAAAGCAATTTTAATCATTTTCGTTTACTGCTTCATTTTAATGCTTACAAGTTTGTATGAAATGGGATTTTAATTTTGGTAGGTTCTCCACGACCAGTGCGACAAGTTCTTCACAATATAACAAGTGAAGTCGGTAAATCCGTGACACTTTCATTCATGGTTATAGCTTATCCTAAACCTGGACCTAAAGGATTTACATGGTTCATGGAAGATCGGCTTAATTGGATTTCTTTACTGAGTAACGAAGATCTTCAAATTTCATCATCTGGATTGGAGACAAATTTAACAATCTCAAATGTATCTCTTGAACATTATGGAAAATATCGTGTAACTACTGTTAACAGAATTGGTGTATATGATCAGATATTGTTCCTCTCAGAGAAAGGTATTATCATTTGTTATTCGCTGTTCGTTTGTGTTCATTTGTTCAGTTCAAATGCTAAAAAATAAAAACTATTATAGACTTACACGACAATTTACTTAATTAAACATACCTACCTTAAATCTTTTTTTTATAACTGAGCTTTGTAAGTGGTATATTTTTGTAACCATTTATTTCTTTTGAAATTGACAATTTCTGGACCTAAACACACTGCATTTTACAAACACTTTAATTTTCATTTTTATACATTTTATTCCGAACATGAATCAATTTAAACATTAGTTTTTGTAAGCTTTATAATTGCTTATTTGTATAGGATCTTATCGTTTAACTTAGGTTTCAGACCTGACACTTGCAAGTGTAATAAGTGCAATCAAGAGAAAAGCTCTTTTACAATGTCAATAGTTCTCGGGATAGTATGTGTCGTTCTGATTGGCTATGGTACTGGCGTATCCCATATTGTACAAAAAAAAATATCAAATAAGAAAGGTAATATTATAATTTAATGTTGTGTATTCAGCTTCTTTAAGTAAGGCCTTATAATTAATTGTTCAAAATTCCTGAATGTGACGAATTCCTTGGCTCGTTCCTCTGATGTAAATTCCTTAAAGTTAATTGGGATAATGATACTCTTGTAAACGCATTGGAAATTAACGTTGATAGTTTGTTGTATTAGACATAACATTAAACCACAAATGATTTATGCATGGAAGTCTATCAACATTTTAATTAAAAAGAACATGTTATAACTAAAATCCTAAATAAACACATTTCTATTGTTTTAATCAATATTTGAATTATTTATGAAAAAATGTGCAATTGTACACAAATCCACTTTAAATTGTTGTTTTAAATTACAAAACCAAAACAATTTTATAACAAAATTCAAGTTAAATTTCCTCTTTCAGGTACAAGAACAAATTCCAGATATGGACCCAACACGTAAGTTTTGCATATTATTGTTATGATTAATTTATCTACTTGAAAGTAGTCTTTTCCATCATTTATACTATTTCTTCTTCTTCTTCTCACAGTATTGAGTATACAAACAAAAAAAGTTTAGTTTAAACGTATTTTTTGCATTTAATACATGTTTACAACATATTATACAAATAATGAGTACATATCAAAATGCAAATGGGTTGTGCAACAAGTTCTTACAACATTAGATTAGGCCTTCCCAGGCAACAAAGAGTGTGTCCTATACAAATACTCTGTAGCGAAGGGTAAAGGGCATGAATTTCAGATACTGACTCTTGTTCACAATTTTCAAATAAATCCCATGAATCATATATATTTTTATACATTTAAACGGATTTCATTTATATTGTTTGGGATCAAATTACAGACTTTAAAAGCAATTATGTTTCTTTATGTTTTATACATTTTGTTTTTTTTAAGTAGGAATGACAATATAGGAAATACAAATGATGTAACAGAGGAACAAGATTATGAAAATAATGCTACAGAAGCCGACGAGGACACTTCGAAACAATATACTGAGCTGACACATTATTCAAACGATGCCGCCACATATGAACCGTTAAGTGTTTAGATAAGATGGATGTAGCTTCTTTTAATCATTTTTCAAAATTTATGTATGAAAGAGTTATGAAAAATGTTTGGGCTGAAGGGTATTTTAGCGTACAAAGTATAATATTTTATTATACATAAAATGAACGAAGTATAAAAAGTATAACACCGTGCTGTATTTAAGGCTTGATAAAGGGGTATATTGCCTTTCAGACACTTAAAAATAAAATCCCAACATATGACAGAGGTCATGAAAATGCCCAACACAAAAATGTAATATACTTGTAGTTCTCCAAAGGCCCACTAGATTTTCTAAAATATGAGCGTCATATTGATAAAAACTAAATTTATCTCATGAAATATGTTTGCATATTTTTCTATATTTTACTTTTTATTTAAATATTATCGTCTTTGTTTATATCAATGGGATGATTTTACGCGACATTATATGAGATGATTCTCGACATTCTCAAACTTTGATGTGTATATTATTATCATTGTTTTGATACACAAATATTCAGAGAAATACAAAATTGTATTTTTTTCTCTGAGTTGAATATTACATCATGCAGGCACTTGTGTCTATCAAAAACCAAGAGTGACCCTTAATAACATTGAAAATATATCAAAGAAAAAAAAAAAACACACAACATAATAGCAGAGTGTTTTTACAATTTTGGCTATTAATTATTTTTTTAATAGGTTAAAATATGAAAATAAATGCGGCAATTATGAATAACTAGATTTGATTTCAAGCACAAGTTGGCTATGCTAGAATTGATACGAAAAGCTTTGTAAGATTGCATTATGATTTCCTGCAGGCATATAAAGTGTAATAGTTCTTTTTTTCAACATACATATTGTCGTAAATCAAATGCAAAACTTTCAAACATTGGCCATAATGCAAAATTGACATAAAGGGTTGAGAGGCGTCCTTTAAAAAAAGGCGATGGGTGCATTGATGGTGAATTGATAAAGAATGCAATCCAAACATATTTTTAATAATGTAATAAGTTAACTGTTTTTTCAATGTATCATATATAGTGTAATTTCCCTTTGAAGTTGTTAATTCTGGGCGACATGATGTTAATAATCATAACATGCTCCTATTCATTGACCCAGTTTTATATGAGAATGATTGATCAGTCTTTTAATACGACTTACAATTACAAATGACCATAGGAAGATACACTCGTTCAAAGCAACCACTTAACATATTATATCGGTACTTGTCAAGCTTTGCATTTTTAACAAAATTAATGCCTTTTCTTATACCTCCATATGATAACTTCGAAGAGGTTGCCAAAATAGCCTAAAAAAGTTTTTAAAAAGTTTAAAGAAAAATCATACAATTTCGTAACCAACACGTGTATACGACTTAATTATCGTCAGCTACTGTAAATATTTTCCAATTTAAAAATGTCCATTTAAAAGAAGAGATTTCAATTTTCATTTCAATTGAAATGTTGCCTATGGCATAGTCCTTATGATCTGGGAATTAAATTGGAAAATCGCGTGTCTTTAATTAGTATGCATAAGTAAATTCGTCAATATTGTATTCCAAACAAAAGTTTACATCCATAAACACAGAATATGAAGAGTTCCATTTGAATGGGTTTAATCACACTTTATGTAATAACGGAAAAATTATAAATTTCCATTTCTGCTTATTATAAATGTTACAAAATATTAGAATGATGTGAGCACTTCATAAGATATAAAGAATTTATGAAGCAACACAGATGTTCTGAATTTTTTTTGCAGTTTTAAAAAATACCTTTTCCGTTAATCACCGGTTTGTTTTTGATTCGGAGATATAGCCTAGTACATTGTATACATATTAAGCAAATGGATGTAGAATCTTGTGTTCTCATGAACATACAAAATGACATAGTATCTATTTTATTTTGACTCTAGGTAATCTTCCTTTCCCAGACTTTTATGACAGACAATCATATATCTACTGTCATTTAAGTTGTGTATAAATGCTCATCTGATATATGTCCCAAAATATAGTGTTTATGTACATTATTCAGGAGGACATCCGACACGGGACAGACATAATCATTATATTTATATATTCGCCAGCGTCTTTACTTTCTTATCACTCATATTCTTTATTGTCAATTAAAAATTTGATTAAATATATTGGTAGCACACGCATAGTGATTGTACCCAAACAAGTATTAATATATCACGATTTGAAATTGAAATTTTGGTACAGATAATCACGATATATGAATTCAGTAAAAAAAAGGGTACAGTGCACATTATCAAGCAAATTTTTTTGTATTTGTTATCACAAATTATAGACTGTTTGCAAAATATTTCTTATAAGTGAGACTTTAAGCTTGTTACATCTCTACAACATCATTTGTCATTTTTGATATTTCAGAAAGATGGCATTTAAGAAACATTTCGATTTGCTCTAAGATGGATGCGAACGTCTCTAATTACAAACAATAGCATAATTTAATCTTTATATCTTTTAAAGTATATTTTATATCATTAATTTAAAATGGTTAGGAATTCTCTTCTTGTTTCAATATAAGTTAAGTACAAGAAAAACATTTTGATGCATAAGCATCAAAGGGCGTCCAAGCAAGAAAATGCAGCAAGTGAAGATGAACTAGTAGACATTTGATGACAAGATATTCCTTATTAAAACTTTTAATGGTTAATTGGTTTTTACCAGAATTGTTTATCACTTATGAATGAGCGGACGAAAAACATTGTTTCATTATTCAACTTCGGTAGGCATGCTAGAGATTAGATTATAACTTGTTTTTTTTTCACAGGAACTTGAAATTTTATCAATATTAACGAAAATATCCAAACATATACAGGTCAATGATATTCAAAATGTATTCCCCATATGGTATAAATCTATTTATACTATATAAGGGGTATTTTTGGATATAATCATTAATATTCCGGTGATTTGATAGAATTTCAAGTTATGTGGGTATTGTCTTTGGAACATACAAAATAGTAGTCAAAAATCAATAGTTTCTTTACATTTTTGAAATAATAAAATACATATATAATATATATATTATAATAATTTTTTTTTTGGTCATAAATGTAATATCGTGATTATTTATAGCAACGGATATATACAATCATTTAATATCCATTTGTGTAAGGCATGATCAACACCACACTTGTGTATTGTCCCTTATTATGTTATCGCTATTAGCGAAGACCCCCTCTTAAGGTATCTGTTCACACTTAGTAACAATATGACACTGGTTATATTACTATGTGATCATGTTGAGCATAATTGTTTTAATTATACAATAATGTAATATATAGTTTAATATTTTTCTTACATATTTATGAATATTGTTTTCTTTTTCTTTTTTTTTTTTGGTGTGTTTTATGTGCTACTTCAATACTGAGTTTTTACGTTTACTACTTTTTTTTATTAAAATTGTAAAATAAATTTTAAGAATTCATTTGTCATATTGACCGACGATTAGAAGTCAAAAATTAAACTGGAAAAAGTCAGTAAATTATGGTTAATCTCTCAATTTATTATATTGTTTATTCTTTAAACTATGTACAGATGTACATTTGTATTTTTCTTTATCATTTTTTAAATTTAAATATCAATCAATTGAATAATTTCGTAAAAATTTCATTTGTTACTTAGAATAATTCCTCAGCATCTTTACTAGACACGAATTACAAATTAAATAAAAATGTCTCAAAGTTGATGGTGTTTCATATAAATACCATAAAAACTGTAACCACTTTACTCAAATATTGTACATATTTATTGTTTTTATCTCATATAAATAAATAAAAACATGCTATTGTTGTTGGTGTTTTTTTTTTCGAATTGTATGTTTATGTATAATAATAATCAATTTTGAGAGTTTGATCTATGTTTATTAATTATTGTAACCAAACTTAGTGACAAACATTCATTTTAAAAAAAACAACATAACTTATTTATCTGTAACGATATCAAACATCTACTCCAAAACCGGGAGATACCGGACAATAAACGTGTTCGGTTACTATTCCCCGCGTCTATAGCCCTGTCAAATAGACCGGGATGAGACCGGGAATTTTACAGATAGGAGACCGGCGAATAGTACATACCTCTATAAAAGATTTTTCGAAACTTTCACAATGTTAAGG